GAAATTCTTTTTCATTCCAATAATGTATAATGCTTGTTCTTAGTGAAGTTAGGTTTTTCCTTGCATATTTTATAAAAAATGTTTTGTTATTTGTAATTTTTCAAATAAATAATTGTTACGCAATATAATTATTTTTCAATAATCTTTTACTTACGTGCTTATTTTTAAAAATAGAATTTTTAAAACAAAACAACGTGTTATTTAAAACGTACACGAACAACGTGTTTCTTCTTTCTTTTACAACCATGAACAATCCACAATATTCAGGCTGCGTTCCAATATTCACTGCCAGCACTGAAAATCTATAATATACGTGACATGAACTATATATTTTCAGTACTGGTAATGAATATTGGAACGCAGTCTCAAATTCGGAAATTCATTTAGGGATAGTAAAAAAAGAATTCATAATATTCTCATCGGAAAATACATCGGAAATATTACAGAAACTATCGAATCGAGAATAAGTATAATTTTAAGTACACCTTCGTTAAGTCGATCTTAAATTAAATAAGATTTATTTGAGCAAAATCTTCTTCACGAAGATTATCTTATTTTATAACTATGAAATCTAACTATGAAATCTGAATTGAAATCCAAATTGAATAAAGCGATCAAAATTGCGTTATGTATTAATTTGAAACTCAACTATGAATACAATCCTATGATTGGTAAATTTCTTATTAAAGGTTTAAGGCTTAAATTACCTATTGTAGACCGGGACTTATTAATAAATAAAAAGCAAATAAATAGCAATAGATAAAATAAAGCAATAAATAAAAAACCGAGACACACAAAAAAACTTAAGCAGTAAGGAAATCAACGTTACGGATTTGCTACTGCTCATACTGTCTTACGTTCTCGACTGTAATTGACTAATTTGCTTACCGCTTTATTGCTTAAATTTTCTCGTGTGCCATGGCCCTAACTTGTCTGTGTATTGAGTATGTACGTTCTTGTTGTATTTAATTTCATTGAAGATTGCTAATAACATAACTTGCGCATATCTATCGATTCTCCATCATTCGATTATATTATGGACAAGCTTTTATTTAAACAACTCGAATCATGGCCACAAGATTACACTAGTCTTTGCTTGATGCATTTTGGAAAACAGATTCAATGAAAGATGAAAGCATTCCTGCAAAATGCGTGCTTCCCGTAAACTGTAAGATGTAAAAAATTTAGAAGTTGCAATTTGAAAATTTTATAAAAGAGTACAGATCTGTTAAATCACACTGGCTTATCGACTATTAAAGTAGACTGTTTACGCGAATATTTCGATTCTCGCTCTTGCAACCTTTTCCTACTATGCCACAATGTACATATAACTCTTTTCGCCCCTCTCTCCCTATTCTGACGCACACTTAGTATTTAACTTTTACATTTCATTTTTCTCTTGTCTTACTTGGAGATTTCTCTGGAAGATATGACTTATTTATTTAATCTTCTATATAGTACTTTGTTGATTCTTGTTTTGTAGATAATAGAGACAACTAGATTTCTGTTAAGATGATAGGGACGACGAGAGCGGAAATTAAACTTGCAAGTTTCTCGCTTGATCGGTTTTATCTATTAGCTATTTATCACTCGACATCTCTACGTCTATGTATGACCCCGATGTATTAGTTTCGTTGTAATAGATAATTATAAAGGGGAAGAGAAAGAATCACGGATGTAGGGTGTGATACTTGAAACATTTTGATTGCATTAATATTAGTGCGTTATGAAGAAAAATGAAGCATTTAAAACAAATTTCGAGCGGACGCATTACAATTAACATAAATTTTTGTATAAAGCTATTCTGGTAATACCAAAAGTACGGAAGTATCGCGATGATTAGCAAATATGAAATATTTTTGAGAATAAAATATAAGGTATTTTATCAAATATTTAATTTCTGTTGGCCTTATTTGAGATATTTACATGTGCAAAATATCTAGAAAGATTGATTAGACAAAGAAAATTTACTCGAAAACTTTACTTGAAAAATTCTATCCAGAACAAAACCTACTACGTTGACTATAAAATATCGAAAGCGTGCAATTTTTATACGTTCGGCCCATTTCTCTCTGCAGATAACAGGATATCGATGTGAAACAGTCTGATAATTTCGAGCGTCTTACCCTACATTCATTGGTCACTCCATCGGCGTGAACACCAGTGGACCATAATTCCAAAGAAGCATACATTTCTCATCGACGTTGGATATGATGAGTCATCAATACCCTCGGTGTTTAAAAATATATAAAATAGAGATATGTCGATGTTTGAATCAAATGCGTTATATCTCCGGTATTATCGAGTTCAACACTCGTATCATACGATCCTCTATATTTGACACAATAGTATATATCTAGTTTTAGCGATGGTCACATATGGGGCTAAATCGCGTGTGAGGCGATGCGTAACAAACTCGAAATTCTTGGTGCAATTTATTCGAAACCGTTGCTACTCTGTGATACGCTACACAACCAACGCTTCATCCGTCGTACGCCGTTGCATCGAGCAGCGCCAAACGCACCGAGTGGCACAGAGTGCGAACTGACGCGAACACGACCGAAAATGTCAACGGGAGTGAGACGCGGAGGGGACGGGATGGGATAGGTTGAGGGGAAGGAGGAAACATATCTCGAGGATGGCACCGCGAACCGTGCGGGCAAAGAGAGAGGAAGAAAGGTCGCGAGGCGAGGAGAGAGAGAAGAGAGAGAGAGAGAGAGAGAGCGTTCGGCCAGATTCGACGATCTTCGGTCGGCCACGAGCGTCGCTAGTGGCGCCTCGTTCCGACGACGGTGGGGGTAGGAACGATGCATGGGCAGCGACTAGGAGGCACTCGGGAGGCAGGGAGGGCATGCGAACGACGGTGGAGCGCACAGTTCGGCAGTCGCCATTGCGAGTCTCCCTCGTGTCTCGCGCATCGCGACCAAGTCTGTAATATCCGCGTGGAGCCTGGACTCTATTTTTTCGTTTAACCTAATAGAATACATCCCCCCGTCGTGGGCCCTCATGCGCGATACCCCGATGCAGAGATATTGCAGCGAGCTCACCGAAAAATTGTTGAAATCCCTTGACAAGGAATACAATGTAAGTAAAGGCGGAGTGTGGTGTATCACGGCAAGATACACCGCGCCGTCTCCGTGTCCGCACGCGCAAACGGCTATCGGGCTACTCTCGATCCCCCGTGCGTCCGTGTTGCTGCCTGTACCAGTGACGTGCGCGAGAGTGCCCCGCTAGAGTGACAGCGGGTCGTGCGTGCGTGCGTGTGTGTGTGTGTGTGTGTGTGTGTGTGTGTGTGTGTGTGTGTGTGTGTGTGTGTGTCGCAGGTGGTCGTAGTTGTGTTGTTTAGTTGTTAGTACTAGTTAGTAGTTAGTAGTTACGTCTATATACATATATGTGAGAAGAGAGAAAGAAAAAACACACACACACACACACACACACACACACACACACACCTGCATTGAGATAAAATTGATGTGAAAATCTTTCTTCGAAAAAGTATCATTTTATACATGTTGAAATCTAATAATAATTATCAAATATTTATAATTGAAATAAACATATGCTAAAAGTTGTATACTTATCTTCATTTCAGGTCATCGATATGCGAGCTGTTGTCGATGTCATTTCGGCATTGGAAAAGACAACAGTTACTAAAGAAGTGCTGGAGGTATATATAACGATTGAATACATTATTAACTATTTTTAATACTACTACATATATTTTTCTGTTATATAAATTCTATGATATATTTTCTATGTTATATATATACTAAAAAAATATATACACTTACAAATATTATCAAATGCAAATACAAAACACAACAAAAACTATGAATAAAAAGATTATTATTTTATTATTTTATTTTGGTTTTATAGGATAAAATATTATTGAATTATATATAAAAAAGTGTGTTAAATTTATGACAATGATTTAATTATTAGATAATATTGTATACGATGTATAATTAGTTTTATATGAAATTGAACTTTCCAAATTTACTGATGTAAGTGCAATTTTAACAATGTCTTTCAACAAAAATGTAACATTTATGTTAAATACAGTTTTAACTAGTACTCGCCAATATTTTTTACATTAATAAATTGTAACTTTTTATTAAATACAAATAAATATTCAATTCATCAAGATTATAAATCTGAATATTAAATACATGTTGTGTGTATGTGCAAAATAATTATCTTAATTAAATATTTAAATAATCAATACTTTATTAATCAATAGTTTATTATAAGAATTTATATATTTTTTTATTTATATTAATGTTAAGATGGTATTCACAAATATTATATAAGCATGCACACAAATTTTTAATAAAAAGAGCTATTATATTTCAATTATTAAATTTATTGATATTTATGTATTAACAAAAATTTTTAATTATTATAATGCTAAAAGAGAGTAATGATATTATGTAATTATTGTTTATATACTGTTTTTACTAGGTTACGAGACTTGGAAAACACATCAACGAACTTCGTCGAAAGACGAGTAATGAAGCCTTGGCCAAGCGTGCGAAAGATTTGGTACGCCGCTGGCGAGACATGGTTTTACCAACGGTACACTCTACGCCTACTTTGGCTGACACGGCACCACCGGCTTTCAATGGTGCGAAGGAAGTGGCTCCGAGAAATTTTAAACCACAAAGTCCTGCATTACGAGTTTTTAAACCTCACAGTCCTTTATTGAAAGATACTCCCCTTAGAGTAAGTTTCAATTTGTCAAACAAGTTGCCTATTAGGGAAACGAGGCAGTAATGAAATCTTCTTATCTCTTTTATATAAATTGAACCAAAGAGGAACAGAGATCACATTTTGAACAAGAATACAATTGCTGATAAGTTTAGGAAGAAATAATCTTTTATATAGTGCGTGCGTACGTGCGTGATTATAAAAGACATTTTGCACAATACACTTTATTTGAAACAATCATTTGCTGTAAAAATATATTTTAATATTCATTACTTTATGAGTTGAATTGTAAATTACACTTTACTTTGAATATCATAGCGGTAGATATGATAATTTAAGTACTTATAGTTAATATATAAAATATAAAAATTATTTTTGATATATTTAAAATATACATTTTGATAAGATGAGACACTGTTGATGATACAAAATATTATAAATTTATTATAGGTGCTTAGTCCGGCGCTATCCGTGCACAGCGATCATTCACGCTCTCCAAATGCGTCTTCAAACAACAAGCAGTCAATTACACCGACCAGCAATCACAGGATAAGTTCCTGCTCGAGAAACGCCTCTCCAGTGCTTAGTTCCTCGAGTCAGAATCACACAATGGAAGCAGTGCCCCGTACACACAGTTCCAATAAACGACTACGGAAAGAAGAGAATAGCAAGGACCAATGTCAATACTATCAATCGCCACGTGGAACCGAGTCGATGGTAGAGGAAGTCAAGAAACAGCGGCTCAACGGCGAGAATATAAGTGGTAATTTAAATTCGCAAGTGCCTAGCCCTACACTGAAGGAACGAATCTCTTCTGATCGTTTCGCGGAAACTTCTCTCGAAGCCACGAATGAGGATTCGGGTCCAAAGAAACGTGGCCGAAAAAAGGGTAGTAAGTTCGCGAAGCGACAATCGTTTCTAGAGGACAGTGTGAAAGAGAAGTTGGCCAGTATCTCGAGGAATCCGAAGCTCAAGACCACCCAGGAGTTGTTAGCTGATTTGCAGGCGCGTGGAAGCAATTGTAGCTCCGCAATTGGCAGCATCAATGCCCTACCTAGTCAAAGCATCGCGGAACCGCCCAGCATGGAAGATGTTTTACGAGGCAGCAACAGCGAGCAAATGTCCAAGTATCTGCGTTGCTCAAGCCAGAAGAATTCCCAGAATCTCCTTAGGAGCAATCTGGCCTCCTTGGAGATGTCGTCGTCGTCGTCTACTGGCAGGACACAAAAATTTTCGGCTCGGTTGAGATCTGCCGAGAATTGTCGCGAGCCCTCGCCTGAATCATGCCAGGACAGGCTACGCGAAGACGATAGGTTATCGGAAAGCACTGAGACATCAACGTGTCGATCACCGTTGCAACGGGACCTTACAGTCGAAGAGATATTGGCCAAGTTACCGCCCTTAGATCCCAACACGATAGACTGGGGTGAGCACGAGGAGCGGAACGATTCCGAATATTGTCCGCCACCGCGGGATGTTACCGCAGAAGATCTTGAGAGGTTGCACACACAGTACATCGAAGGACTTAACGGAAACTTCCAACCGAATTTATTGACAGCGATCGCGTGTTCCGATGGTGATGAGCGCTCGAACGCCAGAGACGGAGGAAAGCAAGTGTCGTCCGGATTATTGAACGTGAATAGTGTAAAAAGTGTGTATAACAGCCAAACAGACAATGTGGAATTTCGGGAGTGGCATCAGATGCTAGCAAAGCCCAGTTACCAGGGCGAAATCCTCAACATATTGCCTTATGTTATTATCGATTAGTGATTTTATCAATTTATTCTATTATTATCCTCTCTCTTCTTCCCTTTCCTTTTCCCTGCTCCCTCGAGAAAAGAATTGTGAGAAAAATTTGCAAATAATTAAAAAACAATCGATTGATCTATTAAAATTAACGATTTCTATTGCGATTTTTGATTATATTCTTCATTTCTATTTACGCCGACGCATTATACCGCCATCCTTCTTTATCATTATTTCATTCCTGTTAATATATGTAATCATTATCTCGCTAATCATATAACTGTGCAACCGCGTGGTGAATAAAGAAAGAAAGAAAGAGAGGAAAGGTTGGAGAGGGGTGGAGAGGAGGGCATTCTTCGTACTATCATCATCGTTATTAGCATCAACATCATCGCGTATTACTACTACTACTACTACTACTACTACTACTACTACTACTACTACTACTACTACTACTACTACTACTACTACTACTACTACTACTACTACTACTACTACTACTACTACTACTACTACTACTACTACTACTACTACTACTACTACTACTACTACTACTACTACTACTGCTACTGCTACTGCTACCACCACCACCACCACTACTACTACTACTACTACTACTACTATTATTATTATTATTATTATTATTATATTAATATTATAATTTATATATAATATTAATATTATTTTTTATTAATTATTATTATTGTTATTAGTATTATGTCAATTATTAGTATTATCTATGCTTTTATTCCTCAATTCTCTCCTCTCCACTATCATTTTTCCACATAATTATTGATATTTTCTTCATCTTCATCATCATAATCACCATTATCATTACCATCGTCATCGTCATCATCATCATCATCATCATTACACATTATCTTTATCATCATCATCATCATCAATCTCCGTCATTGTCATTGTGACGATAAAGAAACTGAGAGCTCATTAGGAAAAAATGAAATCAATGTTAAATTATGATTGTCAAAGTAAAGGCGTCAGAGATTAATTTTGTAATCGCACCGTATGCGAGATAAGTTGTTAATTGTGTGAGATATAAATATTACGTAGATATGGAATAATAGATATATCGTGACACAAGCGCTGCATTATTTTTACACAATAATAAAAATAGATGTCGATGCGGCCCTCGACTTCTCATCTTTTGAGTGTTCAAAATACATAACGCTCGTTTCACTTGCGCGTTATTTTATGCATTACGCGCCAAAAATTAATTCGTATCTTTTTTTACTTTTCTATCGCATTCCGAGCTCAATCCGAAAAAAACACGGGCCCAATACACAAGTTAGTCCTAAATTCTATTAGAAGGGAAAAACAGAGCAAAATAAAAAGATGGAAGAATAAAACACAAGAATGAAAGTTCTTATAAGAGAACTTATGCAAATAGCGTTCAAAGATAGAAATATAAACAAGATTCTAATAATTGTCAAGATCTCTAAGACGTTTACTGTTCTTCAAGTATTTCACAAGACTGTTACACTCTGTCGCGCAACTGTAGAAAGCAATGCGATTTCTTCGAGCTATCAATAAATTAGGTACACTGGTGCCTTAATTAAGCAAGAAAAAGAAAGAGAGAAAAGATATATTTGTCTAAGTGCGTAAAGTTTCTACTCAAAATTTCTTTCGTTTGCGTTACAATTTACAACGGCGGGCGTATTGAAAAGTCACGTGATCGATCATGCATTATCAGACGCAAAGGGTTGCGTAACATTAATCAAGTACGGACGCGATACAAGTTCTTCATCAGGTGCAATACCCGAACAAGTTCAAGTTTATAATATACAGGATGTGTCCAAAAAGTTGCGGAGCGCTGAATGAATTATAATAAAACGAAATTGCGAAAAAGATGCGTGCCTGGTTTATCTCGTTCAGAAATGACTCCTATTGAGCTCGAGATAAGGCACCTCTAGTTCAGTGAAGAATCGAAAAATGTTGTTTTATAGAGTTGTTCAATACACATTTATTAACATTTTTTTTCGTTTCTGGGCGAAACTGACAAATTTCAGCCGTTTTCCTATCCTCGTTTTCTTATCCCTTAAAATTTCTGATTTTTCTAGGTTTAAAATTGGAATGTCGGCATCCATGTCTAAAGAAACGCGCGTACTCGTCTAAAGAGTTGTGTAGATCGTGAACTATGATGAGAGAGAAACTGTATTTATACAAGAATCATCCATCAGCTGGGAATTAAAATCTTTAAAATCTTGGCAGTCACGAATTTTTTTCCAAATTTTTTGTTGCGTTTTATGATGATCCATTCAGTCTCAGAGCTTTTGTTTGCAACCCGTATCTTGTATATTTTGTGTGAAATAAATCGAGTTAAATGTACTGTCACCCATCAGAGACATCGTTTATTATTCTGTAGCATAATCTTTTTTGTTTCCACACGATTAACAAGATATAATGCGCACTGCTCCACGTGTAACCAAAAATTGTGAAAAGCATGCCAAAATAAGAGGAAATTTGTGTATTTACTTTGTCGAGAAATTGCTTTTTGGTTAATTCGAGTTACTTTTTTATGAGTTGCTTTTTCAGACATCTTTTGCCAAACGTCAAACAAGTCACACAACGTCACACAACATTTCGAGAAAACTCCGCGTATGAGGATTACAATTACATCGCTATCGTTATGGCTAAAGAGATAATTTGGCTAATACATGAGGATAAAAAAAACAAAAAAAACATCACCGATGAATCTAAACTTGACTTTTTGTATTTATGCGCGGAAGCGTTATAATGGCAAATGTTGAAGAAATTGGCGTTTATTGTGTTGTAAAGAAAGCATATCATGGCGGATAGTCGGCGAAAATATATGTTCTTGCCTATTATTATTACGTTTTTAATCATTTTCCACTTTTTGGACGCATCTGCTCGCAAAAATTCGCAAACACTCGATTAATCAAACGCTATACAGCCGACGAATAATTGCGACAATTATGTCATTGTGTCATAGATTCATTTTATTTATCGAAACAATGAGTTTCGATAAATTTTAGGACACGAGGAGGTATTTCGTAATCATGGGCAGATAGAATAGATTAAACCGAAAAATTCTCTACTTTGTTTTGCAATTTTCGTAATAATTGGAAAATAATAAAGATGAATAAATGTGCATCCGCATGCGAAGAATGCCCAGCATTTCGCACATTCATGATAGTTAGAAGCGTAGTGAAATGTTCTTCTACAGGATCCCTGGCGAAAATAAAGCGGAAATAAAGAGTTGAGCATAAGTCGAATATAAAAGACGAGTGACAGAAGTGTAAACAAAGTTTCTAGGGAGCGTAGATTGGAACAGCGAAACGTAAAAGAAATGTAAAACGTTTACGAAGCGTTTTAATGCTTCTTTTATGTGCCATTGTTCCAATCTACGTTTCCTAGAAGATTTGTTTACACTTCTGTCACTCTTCAGTTACATTCGGCTTACGCTCAACTCTTTATTTACACCTTTTTCGCTAGGGATGATGTGCTTTTTATTAATTTTTACAGACTTTTATTAATTAATTTTTCATTAATAATTGCGAAGATTGAAAAATATTACTCTTAAATAAGGGATAGATAAAAAAAATTATCAGTTCTGTCATTAACTCAATATGGGTTATTCTTTTAATTATATTTATTATAATTATAATTATATTACATTGTTTTTAAATAGAAATGGTTGCAGAAAGTTGATAAAAGTGATTATTGATACTCTGCAAAAAATAATGCAAGACACGTCATTTTACGAAATTGCTTTGCGCGTGACTGTACATACGTTGGCATTACACGTTTTTTTAGAGACTTTCATCAAATCCTTATTGTCAGAATTCGAGCGTAAAGCAGAGAACAGTTTTTATTTTTCTTTTTTTCTTTAATATCGGAATTTGTAGACGCACGCATTTTGTCATAATAAAACGATGATTATGATTTTCAAAATAACAAGAATACACGAGATTTTTCGTGAGGTTCTATAAGAGCGAATGGAGAAAGAATTATTCTTTTTGCAGATTTTACTTCAATCTAAATATCTTATTAATAAAACGCCGAATGTAGAGACAATCAAATTTTATCTCTTCGATTTTGAAACATATATTGCAATATTTTAAAGACTAATGATTATTTTATTCAAAACTTGAATCGCGCATTGATTCTCTTTGAATAATTAAGAAGTGATTAGCCTTTAAAAAAATCAGTAAAAATTGTCTTATTATGTGACGTTTACTTCTCATAATTAATCGTAATGTTTATCTTAATGCATTGATGTGTACTCACACGTACGATTTATGTTTGTCAATGAATTCTCTTATTCTTCATTTGAGATTTCGTTATAGCTACACGGATTTCTTCCAGGAAGTTTTCAGTTTTACATTTAAAAGACAAGACAGATATATTTCATGAAAGACAAATAAAAACAACGTTAATCAAGTAACATTTCAACGTAAAGTGAAATAATGTTTTACAAATTTTTACTAAGGAAAAGAGCAATCATATGTTAAATATCTATAATTGATTGATTTGCTCGGATTATGTCCGAATATGTGACATGGGATTTAAATTTATTAGATCTTCATTTATTATTTCAACGTAACTTCGCTATAAACCAGTAAAAATTTATTCTATAAATACAATTATTTGGGAGTGTCCCGTTTGACCACATCCCAATTGACCACTCACAGAGGCCGATGCCTAGAATTTTTCCACTATGCAAGCGTTGTGAATGGTTAGTGCCACCTCAATTGTTTTTATCTATCTATAAGCTGGTTTAGAACGTTTTTTGACGTTGTCTGATGCCTTTCGGCCCTGCATACATTCGTAATGCATGTGTGTTAACACACGGATATATGGACAGAGAGAAGCCTGACAGCGGACCATGCCCGCGATTTAGCTGTAATTAGAGACACTGGGTGCTTTCCAACAACGTACACAGGCGACACCGTGTAACACAGTGTCTACACTGGTGCTTTCCATCTATGACACAGAGAGACACAGAACGACACTGCGAAACACAGCTCGATCCTAAGTTTGGCCGTGTCAGACGTCAATAGCGCCAATATATCGAGCAAAATTATTTTTTTTAAGTGTGGTACTAATATACATTCCGGTCATTATTGTCATTTTGGATGCGTTCCGTTTCTTGCATGATACGGATCCTTGTTTAATGATAAGGATAAATGATACATCATGCGCATCATGCGAGAAACGGAACGCATTCTTTATTTGCAAAAAAATGTCTTTGTCGCGTTTGAATAACGTAGTACCGAATCCGGAATTCTTAGGTAATCAATATTCAGTTTTTTTTTATTTAAAGAACTATATAAGCTTAAAAACATTACATATTTGTTGATGACCCATTATTAGTACATATTCTATTGGATTAAGTTTTATTGTATATTCTTTTGTCGGTATTATAAAGAAATTATTCCTACATTAGATGATGTTAAGTATCATGCTTATTTCAAAGGAAAAGAAGTTTTCCTTGAAGGAGAAAAGGAATTATACTCACCTGAAATGAATAAGATTCCATGTAATTTCAAATCGAAAAGATCATAGTTATTTTACAAATATAAAATAAAGCTTGTAGCCAGGAATAAAATAATACATATAATTTACTTAAATTTATTTCAGCATGTATCAATAATTCTTCAAAAAATGCACTGGCAATAGTGGATGATAAAAAAACGAAAAAAATGCGCTCATGTTTATGCGTGATGGTCTTTTCCTACGTCTTTTACGCTCTCTAGTGAGCGTGTTTAGTAACTTATGTTCCAATTAAACTCTATAACTGTGTCTTACAGTGTCTCTCTGTGTCACACTGTGTACACCAAACTCTCCTTGTTGGAAAGTACCCATTATAATCAGGACTGGCTACGACTCTGATTCGCCAATCAGAAACTCTGATCCGCCATGTTTTTAGCCATGGCTAAATCCTATGAGAAAGAAAGAAATATACACTATCTCACTCTAATCAATAGCGATATTTTTTACTTTGCATGTGCATTGATTAAGTGTATTGCATGTGTATAAACACGTGGAAAGCGTGACAATATATTATTAAATAATAGAGATACTAAAATTGCAAAATATAGTCATAAATTAATTAATTGTGATAAATCAATATAAAAAATGGATGGATGTTTATTTTTTACTTAAATTTTATTTTATATTCTAATAAAGTTTGTTTATAATAATAATAAATATGTATAATAATCCTTTACTAAAAAAAACAATGACATCAATACTTGCATTTTTCGAAATTTCCTCGAAATTTATTGTTGATGCTTTCCCGTAATGGATTCTCTCGTTGCGCTAACTTTATGAATAGCTGTCATTGTATTGATTTCACAGAGGATTGTTATGACAATTGTGTAAAAGTTATCAAAAAGTTAAAAATATTATAGTGTAACGGTAATACAATAGTATTATATTAATTTTTACTCTTGTGTTGAAAAATATAAATAGTAGAAAAAAAAATAAATAAATAAATTTAAAATCGTTAAAATTAAAGGATATATATATATTAATAAATATTAATAAATTGGTAATATAATTATGTAAAATAAAGTTTTATAAATATACACATTTTATTACCTTTAAAACGCTTATGTTTTTAAATTATAATATTACAATTTAAGATTAATGTAGTTAATGTATTTGAAAATAAGTGGGAAGCCAAAGATGGCGGACCAATCAAAAATTGCCTTTTCGTGGCCAGTCTCTAATTATAATGTCTCTAGCTATAACTTTATTTTGAAGCATCTCTAAAAACATGGACATTAAGGATCGCATAGATCTTATAGATATGGACTGACAATTGCTATCGTTTCTGCATAAGAAACAGTGTCCGCGAGGGGTTAGATAGAGAGACGTATTTTTTGATACTTCTTTCTCTTAAGATATCCGGAAATATGTATTGCGCATGAGTTCGAAGCATATAGATTAATATAATATGGCGGATTAATATAATAATATGATCAAAAACAATAAATGTTGATGAAGAGAAAAATAAATAGAGTAAAGAATGAAAGACTTCATAGTCAAATATATAAAATGCAATAAAATAAAAAAAAATATGTATGAAAAAAGTGAAAAAACATCAGATAAAACTTTTAGATTAATTTGTGGAAAGAATTTTAAAATAAACGATATATAATTCTATATCGAAGTTTTTATTTTTTATGATAATTTTGTAAAATAATAAAAAAAGAGTAAAATAAGAATTACAACATTAAATGAATCATGCATGGCATACTTGCTGCATACTTAAAGAATAATTTTCTTTTTAAAAATGTGAGTTTTTGGAAAAATATGATAGTTATAATTATTTTGAACAATAAATATTTTAAGACTAATAATAAATGATTTTCTATAAATAGGTTTGTGTTGTGTTGTTTATATTTATTGCACTTAAGCTTCTTGTTCTTTTTTTTTCCATTGCTCACAAATATATCTATTCTGCTTTAAATATTGAAAATTCTAAGCAACGCGAACCTAATGTTCTAATGTAATAAAATCTGTTGTGAAAAAAGTGGGTAATAGAATGTCAATTTTTTTTAATTTCAAATGAAACAATTAAATAGCTTCTTTTCTAAGAATTATTATATATTAAGAATATTATGATAATTGAATTAAATTTATAATTTAAAGCTCTCAAAATTTATAAAATTTATTTATTTATTTGTAAAATAAAAAAATTTCACAAATACTTTTACACTTATTAAAGTATGCTTGATATATAACTGTAAGAAAGTTACTAAGAAGTCCCTAGGACAACCGGTGGATGGCGTCATGAGTGCTATTCAGTAACCAAAAGAGCGCCTCTCGATCGAACACGACACGAGTGAGTGACACTAGGAAAGGACCAATCAGAGGGCTGATGGTCCTTTCCTAGTGCAATCTTTGTTAACTTTGAAATCACCGAACGTGCTCCGATGCGCGGAGCAGCGAGCGACGGGGACTCTCTCCCTAGTTGGCGAATGAGACGGACGTGTCATCCGCGAGAGTTCAAGTCGAATAGTCGAAAGTAGTAATTGTAGTGAATATAGTCGAGATATCGTTACAGGCGATATCTGTTAAATCGTTGTATTACGTTGTAGACTCAGTGAAAATATAGATAAACCGCATTCTATTAAAATTGTGGAAAAGTTATTAAGCCTGCTCCATTATCCAATACGTGCCGGTCACCTCTCTCAGTGCGTGTATTAAATCATAGACAATAATTAGAAAAACGGACATTAATTCCTGACAAAACGGTTACTTTATTTAAATTTAAAAAGTACAAGAATCTTACATTACTTTACAATAAGTCTTGCTTCATTATTACTTACAAATGAAAAGAAACACTATTTTCTGCAGAATAACTCATTCTGCAAATAACACACTTTCGAACTATTATTTCTTTTTAGAAATATAATGTGATATTCCTATCGATATTCCGCAAATACGATATTCTGTAAATAACACACAAATAACCTCAAATTTTCCCTTAACTTGCATAAGTATATACCAATAAGAATGCATTAATGTATAGTATATGTCAAGCATGCGCAAAACGTATTTCCGGACTCTTTTAGAAAAAGAGAAACGTTTCTCTCTCCAACCTCCCATGGACATAATCATATCTATATTACCAGTCCATACATATAAGGTCTATGAATGATCGGCAGGAGAGACTATGGAGATCTCTATCAAAGGTGAATTCCTTTTTACCCAAATTACCCAAAATACTGCGAGAAAAGCTTTGATATAATTATGATATTTATAATCAGAATATTTGCCTGACGAAAGCTACAGAGCGATTTTTGTAAGAAAATGTGTGAAAAGAAATTCATTTATGCATAAATAAATTTGCACTATAGAACAATAAAGTGCAAATATTTTTATCTATTGTAAACTTTTTTTTAAGAGCCAAATTGCAAAATTCGACTCTGTAGTAAGAATCATATAATTTTATAAAAATACCTAGGAAAAGGTTCATGGCAGAATATTGCTTCTACGAGATGATATATGGGTGTAATCAAATATATATCTGCACTATAAATAAGAAGTAGAGATAGTTACATTTATTTTAATTATTTAAGAGCTAAATTGCAAAATTGGCTCTGTAGGTAGCTTTGTAAATGTAATTGTAAAAGAAATTATCTTAATAAAGTTTCATGACGAAACATCGTTTCTATAAGACAAAATATAATTGAGTACAGATCCATATCTGCACTCAATTATATTTACTGTAAATAAGGAATAGATAATCATTTTAGATCAAGTCGGAATTAGCCCGTCACTCCTGCCGATCCTTAAACTACATAGCTAATGTTCATGATATTGTAGGCATTATAGACATAGTAGTAGATAGACCGAGCATGCTATATACCAGGCAATGGGCGATATGTGCGAGTGAGAAAAAACAACACCTGATTTTCTCTCTCTCTCTCTTTCTCTAATAAAAGAAGGTGAGGAAACATTGGGAACTGTGTGCATAATCCCTATCATAGATGTGCAATCCATACCTCAGCCAATCAGAGTCTACTAACGTCACGTGATAAATTGACAATGAGTCTCTTCTTATAGGGTCTCTAGTCGAATGTAAGGAGAATACTTGATTGTAATTGGTCCATTCTTACAGCCCACAACCCACGACACCGACACACGACGCATTGTAGAACAGGCCTTAAGTCTTAAGCCATAAGAAATGGACGAATCATAAACAAAGAATAGGATGAGTATTTATCATGACTTGTGTCGACTTGAGCTGACTCAAGTCACTAACTCCTAATGTAATAAATGGAAAGCACCTATCTGCGCAGAAGTTAGTGCGTAATAGATCTTTTGATCTAAATAAAATATCATTATCAGTATTTTATTAAAATTATTATTAAAATTATTATTTAAAGATGATATACATATAACAATATAAGTTTTTAATTTTTGTTTTTATTTTACAAATATACACAGAAATACATGTACTTTTATATAGAATTACAATACAAAGCATATAGAAGTTATATATAATAATAAGTAAGTTAATAAATAATTTTTTAACAGATAAATGAAAATAATTGGATAAATGCAATTTATTTATTGCATAATGATAGTATTAGCAGTGACAGTAGCAATAGTGACAGCACTTAGTCACATCCTTAGTTCTTTAGATGAAAATTACAATCCGTTAGAAAATAACTTATATGAAAAAGATCTGCTATCAGCTCTTCTTCAGCTATTAATGAATGGGCGTAGACATCATGTGCAAAATTTTCTCGATGTGATACATAGGAAAAGTGATGAAGAATTTAAAGAAGATTTCAGATTAAATCACATGATTGTGAATAAATTAATAGGTAATTATTGTGATAATAGTATTAAGTATTAAGTATTAAGTATTATTATTAATAATATTAATTTTTTAAGATATTTTACCTTATAGTAATAGAAAAAACGTCCCGTTTGACCACGTTGCAATTGATCACAGCTACTCACAGTGGCCGGTGCCTAGAGGTTTTCTTCTGTTCAAACGCTATGAGTGGCTGGTCAATTGCAACGTGATCAAACGGATCCCACCCGAAAAAACTTATTTTAATTGCTAACTTTTTTTTAGAATCTTTTAAGGCCAGCAGATTTATGCCAACAAATGAATTTGGAAAAGAAAGAAAATCTGCAGAACTATGTTTGTTAGTGACACTTTGGTTTTTAAGTAACAAAGAACCACATCGAACATTATCTAATCTTTTTGATATATCATTATCATTAGTATTTCGTATTATACGTCGAATCATCGTGGATCTGCACGATGCGTCCGACTCGTAGGAACTCCCCAGCGCGCCCACCTGCGAGAGAGTATTTGAAGCGTCCTTCCTAGCCCATCCATATTTTCTCTTTAAAATAATTATCTCGGGCCGGACGTAATAATATTCTACACAGATTTTATACGATTAATCTTAGTATCTTCGGTATGATCACAGTACATTCAGTATAAATACAGAATATTTGTATGAGATCATGTGCTAATAGGATATATTCGGTATATTCTGAAGATGAACTTAAGAATATATACGAGAAATGATATACCATCAACATGTCATAAATGTTCTCTATATTAGGTATATTAGGCAATAGTACATATGATCACAGTACTTTCAGTACGAGTGTAGAATATTCGAATGATGTCATTGTGCTATTAGGATAGTAATTAATAATGTTATTTCATTATTTATTCATTAAAAATGATTTAAAAATGACGATTAAACAATATATTTATAATAATATATTTATGACAATATATTTATGACAATATATTTATGACAATATATTTATAATAATATTTCGTAACAAATAGTACATTTATTTTACATCGTTTTTTAATACACTGACAAAAAAATGACCTTAAATAATCGTCATAATGACGTCATCTTGCTACTTGAGATACATAGATTTTATACGAATAATCTTAGTATATTCGATATGATCACAGTACATTCAGTATAAATACAAAATATTTGTATGATATATTTGATGCTTATGCAATATTTGATGATTGTATTATGTGCTGCTAAGATATATTCGGTATTCTGAAGATGAGCTTAAGAATATACGAGAAATGATATAATCATCAAGATGTCATATGAAGGTTCTCTGATATATTAGGCAATAGTACATATGACCACAGTATTTTCAGTACGAGTGTTGAATGATATCATATGCTATTAGGGTTCTTAATTTGTGGTGACCCAGAATCTTTTCACGATATTCGAATGTTAAGAAGATCCCAGCTTTTTCATACTGCTGAACAAGAAAGAGAAACTCTTTTTTCAAACAAAACTTTTTTGTTAGGAGATAAAGTTAGGAGATAAAAGTTATAATGGAGTAGTAAAAAAATGGATTGTCCTTTCAAAGATAATGATAATTTAATGATCGAACAAAAAGCATTTAATACAAAAATTTCAATAACTAGAGTTGCAGTTAAAAAAGCTTTTGGTATTTTTGGTATTTTTTGGTATTTTAAAAGCTGAATTTTGCCAATTACATAAATTACCTTTACACGATGTTCATTTTATGACTCAAATCATAATAGGTTGTTGCTTCATAATTTATGTTTAGATTATGAAGATAACAGTGAAGATTTTTATAATAAAAATCCTGCAGCAGAGAAAAATAATTTTGCGTAAAATTATAATGAAGGATGAGAAATTATAGACGAAGAAGATTTAGAAGATCGTCAAACAATATTATTCAGAGAACTATATCCTATGCAATAATTTATCTATAATGTACATATCAGATAATATATTATTGGATAATATATTATTCAATAAAATTAATATTCATATGTTCAACTTGTAATAAAATTTATTTTACTATTCAATATATATTAATTATATAATTATGTCAATCATCGAAATAATTTATTATTTATATATTACTTTTGTAAAAAATTTGTTCAAATTATGTTCAAATTATACTTTATTTAAATTTATATAAAAATAATATTAATAAATTCTTTTTTTTACACAATAAATATGTATAAAGGTATAATACTATATAAACAAATTTTAATATTTTTATAAAAGCAGTTTGTAATTTACAAAAAAATTTCTAAAATTATTATTTATGTTATTTAAATCAACAAATAAGAATATAAATAAAAAACAATCAATTTAATTTTATTCATTTTTTCAATAAAACATTATATACATTTAATTAATAAAACATAATAATATAATAAGTTTTAATTATTTATACAAAATAAGAAGAAACAAAATAAAATCAAAAAATAAAATATTTTATGTTTTATTTATAGTTTTTTGTATTATATATATTTTGAAGATATAATAGTACAATTGAATATTTAATCATATGGCAATATCAATAATTATAATTATTTATAACACAGATATTTTTTGTTTTTTATATTTTGCACATATATAAAAATATAAAAATAAAATCTTAAAAAATATAAAAATAAAATCTTTTAATATAAAATAAAATGTCTCTTATTTGAATTAACTAAACACAACAAAATTCACAAATCTCGAATTATTATTTAATATATATGTATGTATTCTTCCATATATGTATTACGTACATTATTAGAAAATGTTAACATATTAAATATCATTTTAACTTTTTTCAACAAAAACATAGTATTTCAAACAAAAATAATTTTTAACTTTATAACACAATTACAAATAAATTTAATAATTACGTCACATTTGGAAAAAACATTATAGCTTTGCATAAAATCTTTGTTATTTAAAAAATATGTTGTTTTTTGAGATTAAGATGAATATTATTATGTATATCGGCTTCAAATTAAAAATATTTTGTTTCTTGATTAAGCTTTTTAACAAATCACATTTTTCTTTTTGAATAGACATCTTCTCTCTGTTGTTCAGTCTTTTTGATTAACTTCAATTCTTCAAACAACATCTTTTTCTTCTTAAAAGCTATTTTTTTTAATGCGTTTTTCTATTTTTCTTTTATTTTCATTTTTCTCATATTTTTTTTTATCTTCATATTTTTTCTGAATGAACTGAAGATGTTCCACCATGAACCATTGCTTCTCTAACTCTAATTTTGTTCGAAATGTTTTTGAGCCTGTTTCATTCTTTTTTTTTGTACTATTCTCATTTCTGAGCTAGTATTTCCTGTATTATGTTCTTCAGTTCTAGTATTTTCTTGGACATTATTTGATTCTTTTACGTATTCTATATTAATTGTTATATTTTGAGTATTCACTAATATTGGCGAATTAAAAACATTTTCACTGCTTTCACTGGTAACGCTTTTATGACCTAAAATTTCATGTAATCTTTTGTCGTAATCATCAAAAATCTTCGGAGCATTTCTACTTGTACGATTATAATCTTTTTTTTTTATGCACTAAATTTCCATCTTACTTGATTACTTGATAACTACAAAATATATTAGAAAATATATTAGATCAGATTAATTTAATTATAAAAATATATTTAGATAATATAATATAATATATATATATATATATATATATAAAATATAATATAATATAATAATATATTTAAATAATATTTTATATATATATAGAAAATATAAATAGATTAGGTTAATAAATATAAATAAATAAAATATTTACTGGAACTTTAAATAAACATAATTTATTCAGATCTTCTGCAATTGATTGTCAAAACTTTTATTTTTTTTTTTGGTGTTCAGCTTCAATATCACAAGCTTCATAAGCAGAAAAGTGCAAAAATAGCTTATTTGTTCCATATAAGCTTGTCTTTCCATTGAAATTCTTCATGAAAAATTAAATCAATTTCTCTTTTATTTGTATTTCTTTCTTGTAAAATGTTTACATCTGATATCGGTATATATTCAGAATCAACAAAATTATTAGTCAACATATTTCCAGTTTTATTCATTGTATAATCTAATATACAAAAGTGAAACTTTAGATCTTTTTACCAATTTATAACTTATTGAAGTAAGATTGATCATCTTATTTACATGTAATTATTACCGTATAAAAAAAATCCGTATAAATCCGTATATATAAAAGAAATAGCGTTGACATGAATCGTATCTTTTAATTTTGAATTATTAACTCATTTACTATCAATATAACAGAATATATACGTATATAATTAAATAAATATGGTAAGTTTGTTTTTTGATATTGGTGAAACTGAATGTCACACACCTTAATTCTTCGCAAAAGCAGAGTTAGCAAAAGTCGACTTAAGTCAATGACTTAGCCGTCCAATCCCGGTTCACTTCAAAATGAAGTGGATTAGAAAGCATTTACACCGAATTGATCTTACTCCACTAAGAAAAGAGGATTAAAGTGAATCAAAATTAAATTAATCCATTTACACTTAAGAAATATTACTTCATTCCGAAATGAATCGGGATTGAACGGCTAGGTGTAACTAAATCATAAACACATAGCGACATAATCAAATAGAAAGCACAAATGATGATATCACTAGACTTGTGTCGACTTGAGTCACTAAATGGAAAGCATCCGATAATAATTGACTATAGGTCCATTTAGCGCTATAAAAACTTCGAAGCGTTTGATTAACTAATTAAAACAAAGAATTTTATGAATTGACCAATCAAAAAATGCTTCGAAACATTTGTAACACTAAGTGGACTGCACTCTATGATTAATTTCTTATGGCTTAAGGCTTAAATCACTTATTGTAGACTGGGACTAACGTAATCCAGCCTATATTCAACGCGTATGCCTATGTCACCAACATTGGACAAATATTTCGACATTTAGGCTCCGCCTAAAATAACGGATAATTCAAAAATAAGGATTTCTGTAAACAAACAGATATATTTTATTAACATTTTATAAAAATTAAATAATAATTTATAAAATCATGTACTGATTAAAAACAGATTTAAAATATATGAAAATATTATTTATTGTCCCTTAAATATAACAGTTTTTGTCAACGTATGTTGAATGACAGAATTATGTTTTTTTTGTTTTATACGATCCGAAGTACATTTTAACATTATTATGTTTAAACAAGTTTGTGTAATCAATTTAATTAACTCGTATTTATGATTTTCAAGAATATGTAAGTTTCGTATATAATTATCAAATGAAATGATATGACCGAGTGATACCCATTTGACCACGTTCCGATTGACCACTCACAGTGCTTGAACAGTGGAAAAATTCTAGACGCTGGCCTCACCCGATATGAACTGATATGAATTGATATGCACTTACTAATCACTCACGCTTCAATGACGTCCCGCATTTTAGTTCGTGAAACATGGTAGCGTCACTGTCTAAATTAATGTTAGCGTCACGAGTAAAGTGAGCTACTAGCAATTCGTATTTATATAGTCAAAGGTTACTACTTTTAACTATTTAAAATCTGACAACATTGCATGTCTAAAGATCCATCTACAATGGAGGTAGTAAGACTGTACGAATAGGGAGTAAGAGAATTTTACCGGCATAACCCTGGAAGTAAGCGAAATGGTCCATTCCCATTTCCTACACTTTACTGCCTTCCAACAAATCACAGATGATGCTAGCAATAAGATCAGGCGCGCGTAACATATATTTGCCGATGACTGTGTCAACATACTGAAAGATATCTATTAGATTCGGAAAAAATTAACGGAGACCGACTGGATTTGAACTCGGGATCCCTCGTCTACCAATCCGACACTTAGTCTGCACGACCACGACGGCTCCTCTCTGTTAGCTGTTTATATTCCAAATCTCTTTCATGACCGCTTACGGTCGTCTAATTCTTACAATACATTGTACAAGTGCGTTTTGTGTAATATAATTTGTAAATAATATATGAAGAATTAGATAATGAATATAGTGCCGATGGCATTGATGATATTGAAGATGTTGGAGATGATACAAACATCAAAAAGAACTTATTGACATTGTTAAAATTAACCCTTCGTTGTAGGACAAACGACAAAAGACATATTCTGGCAAGAATCTTTTGATAAAAAACTTGCATAGGCCTCTGTGGTTGCAATGCTCAGAGATATGTTTCCACATAACACCGAAAAATTTCGGAAAGCTTTCAGAAAACTATCAATGAAATATGAAACCTTTCAAAAAAATATTTCAAACATGTTTCAGACATGTTTCATACATAATATGTCCGCTTTGATGTAATTTCAGAAATGTTTCTGAAATATTTATGAAATATTTATGAAATATTTATGAAATATTTCAATAATAAATAAGATAAAAATAGATAACAAGGGCGTTAGGAGTCAAGCGCAGTAAATAAGGCGCAAATAATTAACTGTTGAATTCTATCTGTATTTTATGATTTTTTTACATCCAAACGTTTCGATCCACTTTCGGATCTTTAGTAGATAAATATATCCATAATAAGAATGAATTATAAAGATAATAAATTGGAGGCTTTGCTGCAAATCTAGTACCTGTTGAAGGAGTTAGATGTCTTACTGTTCGTACTGGATTCCGAGTTATTAGTCCTTAGTTTTATAAAATCTGAGACATTTCTGCGAGATAGTTTACTATTCGAGTATAATTGTCCTCTCGAGCTTTTTAAACTTGAAATAAAGACATTTCTCAGGGATAAGAATAGCGTTGGAGAATATTGCCGCCGCGGTCCGACCTGCCATCGAAAGAATAGGACCATCATCTCTCTGAAGTACCGGTCGTGGGGATTTGAGAATATACGTGTATGTATGTATATTATAGTGTATGTATATATGTGTATCATTGAATTGTTGACGTGTTCTAAACAAGTTATTTTCGATAAATATCATCACATGCCTCTGTAGTCGAAAGGATAAGATGCATGCCCGATAAGCAGAAGATCCAAGTTCGATTCCTGGTTGAGGTGATATTTTTCGCAAAATAATTTCAAATTTTTACGAGTGATTTGTGGTCGATATCGTGGCACATGCCCTTCCTTCTTATTCTCTTTTTATAAACTAAAATCACCAAGTATAATTATAAAGATAATAAATTGGACACATTTTAATAATTGACACGAAACAATCAAGACGTATTTACTTTTTCTTTTTATTAATTAATAATTTATTAATTAATTGACTCTTATCTTATTTCTCTTCTCTTAAAAAATTTTTATTCTTTTATTTGTGACCATGCTTTTGCAATATTCAGTATTTATTTCCGTCTGTGTACTTCTTATTGTTATAACTGAGTAAAAAATACTCGATATCATCGATCTTCTATATCAGTTGTGGAATTTGGACAGAAGCTCTCGAGATATTGCACTGTTGCGTTTATCGATGCGAATCTGTGAAGTCATGGACTAATACGCTTTAAGCCATTCTTATTATGGATATATTTATCTACTGAAGATGATCCGAAAGTGGATCGAAACATCTAGATGTAAGAAAACCTACAAAATACAAATAGAATTCAACGATTAATTATTTGCGTTTCCTTTACTGCGCTTGACTCCTAACGCTCTTGTTATTTTTATCTTATTATTTTCTAATTAAAGGAGTCGTTCTACCTTAATATTTATGTTCAATAATAAATCTTTGAAATACGTCGAAAACATTTCAATTATAATTTTCTCACATAGTGCCGAAGTATGTTAGAAAGTATGCAGAACCTTTCAATAAAAATTGAAACCTTTCAAAAAAATATTTTATGCATGTTTCACATTTGTGTTATGTCCGATTTTTGAAAGCTTTCTGAATGTTTTCTGAAATCTTTTGTGCTTTGTAGGTATATTATTTCTGTGGTCTTTCTTAAGTTTCTGTGAAATATACAGGGTGGAACATATAGATTGGAAACAATTGTGGATCTTTAAAAAGATATGATTTTGATTATATTTTGATTATATTATATTCTGAGATAATTTTTCCTCTTACAAAAATTTGGCCAGAGTCTAGTTTTTGAATTATAAACGAAATAATCTTGTTATCACAAGACGAAAACAAGAGATAAACAAATAGCAGTGTACTGTGTAACTTTTCCTCAACATATAGGTATATATATATATATATATATATTCCAATGGTTGGCTTCCGATGGTTTGGCTTTATTTTTTTTCTAGATGTTGCCTACCATGTAACTAAACCGAGAAGTATTCCGAACCCATCATAATCTATACAGATGTCGAAGATGTTTCATTTGGAAATTCAAAACTGTAATAATAAAATATATAATTTTGTAATAACAAAAAATATTTACAATTTAGCTTATAATGGTAAGTATTATAATAATATTATTGTAAAATTTTTGTTATAATTAATATTTTTAGAACTTTCATACGCAGAAAAATTTTTGATTAAGTAGAAACAGAAATATCTTGAATTATTATCAGATTCACCGCTACTTGATTCCATTATATGTGCAATATTATTAATTATAAAAATTAATTATAAAAGCTTTTTCCATTTTCTTATATTATTATATGACAATGTCATATGCAGTTGTACTGTTCAATCCCGTTCCGTTTCCACAATTTCACAATATAGCGATAGTGAACTAGTAAAAATGGAACGCTTGCATAGCACACTATAATGGCAGTCATGCTGGCAATACCGCCAGTAAGTTACAGAACGCAGCCCCATAGTTACAAAGCTGTTTGAATTGAACACAGCCAATAGTATTGACAGCCTGCTTCTTACACTTTTAGGCTATGTTAGTGTCGGTCCACAATAAATATTTAATCTTTAAGCTGTAAGAAATTGACTAATCATAGTCGAGTATTCTTTTCATATTCGATTATAATTGGTCAATTTCTTACTTCTTAAAGCTTAAATCACCTATTGTGGACCGACACTTAGAAAACATTTGAGTACCCCATCATCATTATTTATCTTTATCATTTTATCTTTATTTTTCACAGAATGTTAAACAAAAGTAAAATTATGCGTAGGAGCATTCGGGTGACGTTTCCGAACTTAGTCTTAATGTGATTGGTTATATGTAAAATAAGAACCAATCAAATTCGACTGCTATAATAAATTTCAAGTCTCGCTTTTAAGCTGTCTGCTGTCATTGCAATCAGTCCTTAGAAATATATTACAAGAAATATATTAAAAATATAAAATTTTTATATATAAAATAACAATGCACAAAAGATTACAAGAAGTAAACAGAAAAGTAACTAAAAAGTAACAACTCGTTACTTTTTGAGTAACTATAATTGTTATTTTTTAATATGTTAATATGTTTAATATGTTATTTTTTAAAATCGGTAATTTGTAACGGTAACTAGTTATTTTTTTAAAGGAAAGAACTATAACTGTAACTAGTTACTTTTACAAGGTAACATTCCCAACACTGTAGATCTATTCTCTAACTTCTTAATAACAGTTTCACTAGCTAGGGATGTCGTTACGCAGATTTAACGACACTGTAACGAAAAATGATATTCTGTAATTTAACATAACGATAAAGGTGCATTCATTTATACAGTCACTACAGATATTCGTTTATTCCGTCTGCGAAGATGACTGCAGCGCAGTTCGTCGTTCGTTTATGCAGGGATGTATCTCATCTGTTCAGCTATCTCGGAAGTCCTGCTTTGGATGGTTTAGTGTCGGTCCACAATAGGTGATTTAAGCTTTAAGAAGTAAGAAATTGACCAATTATAATCGAATATGAAAAGAATACTCGACTATGATTAGTCAATTTCTTACAGCTTAAAGATTAAATACTTATTGTGGACCGACACTTACTTGCAGTACTGCGTAAACGAACACCAAAATGAATTTTATTAGAATAAGAAGTGAAAAGGGTCAGAAATAAAGAATTGATCCAAGTAAAATAAGAATAATCAGATACGATTAAAATAAAAATAAGATAAAATAAAAAAAAATAAGAAAAAATAAGAATAAAATAAAAAAAATAGAAATAAAAATAAGAAGAAATAAGAAAAAATAAAAATAATAAACAAATATAATTCACAAAAAATTAATATCTAACTTTTAAGTAAAATTCATAAATTAAATATTTTTTATAATATCTATTATTTATATCAATTAAATTTAATATCAATAAAATATTATCTTTTATACAATAAAAAAGTTTTATTACATTTTAATTATTCGAATATAAATTTATGTATAAAATTGTCTCTTTACTTATCATTCAAATAATCAATTTCTATTGGAAGATACGATGAGAGCGTCCTAGATGCGCACATTTCAATTGGACACATCACTCATCAGCCGATGCCTAAGAATTTTCTAATGAGCCTATCAAAAACTTTTTTATTTAATCGACCAATCGGCAATGTGTCCGATTGGACCTCATCCTTACTCACGCAGTTATCCGTTCGGTAAATTTCGATTACATGACAAGCAGATGAGAAAGCAATGGATGTACAAAACACTGCGTATGGATGTACAAAACACGAATGCATTCTAAAAATATCGATAAAGTACCGAATTTTGTCGTTAAGATTTCGAGGGATATCGGATCCCTCAATAAGCCATAACGACAGCATAATTAGACATATCAATCAATAGCAACGTTCCGAAGCGGCTCCGAATAATAGTACGGAAGTGTGCAAGAATAGTTTTTATAAATTAAATATATGAACATCATAAACTTATTTTAAACATATCATCAAATATTAAGAAAAGCAATGCAAAAAGTAATATTACAATAAAATATATAAATTTAATTACAAGCAATGTATTATCAATGTTATAATATTTAAGGATATTAAAATAATAAATAAATAGATATAGGTTATATTTTACTTATGAATTATATGCAATGTAAATCAGATATGTTTTTAATAAAAATTTTAGATAAAAAGTTAAAATTTCTTTTATTTTTAAGGTAAAATGGCTGAAGGATATTTGGCATGGAATATATTACTTAAAAAATTTTTAATTATATAAAAAAATTTAAACAAATAATTTAAATAATTATATTTAATAACATTAAATTACATTAAATATAATTTATTATTATTATTATTATTATTATTAGATATAATTAGAAATAAAAAATTTTTATTTAACAATTTTTTAATAAGATGTTTTTTTTATTAACGTTGCGCGATTTTAAACTTTTTCAATATAACTTCAAGCTTTGAAATGGATTATTTTTACAGAAAGAAATGTTTAGTACAAAAAATATTACAATATATAAATTTAAATTTATTATAAACTTTATTTTATATTTCGTAAAATTATTTAATATTTCATATAAAAAAAGTAAAGAGAAGATTACCTTTCAAAAATGCTTTTATGCTTTGTTAGTCCACGATGATTGATCCGATCAATGCTGAGACAGAGATCACTGATCCGGATTAATCTAGGGAAATTTAAAGCGTCTATTGGTTGAGTGCCAATGTTGCTTTGTCCGATCAAGGGGTTAATCATGTAATTTCACGTACCTTATGTATACATACCATTATGTATCACGTACCTTATATACATCAATCGTTATACGTGAAAAGTTTCATGCGAAATGTCAATGCGTGAAAAATGAAAAGTGAAATTTTTCATATTTATGTGTATATTTTACATATTCATATTCATATTGTCTTGTTAAAATTTTTTTCTGTCTAATTATTATTTTTCTATGGATACGAG